TGAAATGGCAGCCTGTGTTTGGTAACACAACCTGGCTGTGATTGCTGAAGCTGTGTATCCCTACCTCTGGGCTGGAGCAGCTAAAAGAGGCTTTCAAACCACGAATTAAAATACAGGTACCAGAGAAGAAGCCAATCCATCCTGCAGTGAGGAAGACATGTTGGTCAGTGATGCTCATCACACACTAGAGCACATTTTCTCTGTTTATGATTGGCCCTTACGAAGGTTTTCAGGGGACCAAACTGACCAAACTCAACTCAGTCACTGATGAAAATGATAATCCATGAGCAGGCACCAGTGTCACAGCTGCTGGGATGGAGCCAGCTCGCCAGGCACCTGCATTTACTGCATCCTCCTTTCCAGCCCAGGGAGTTTTCTCCTTAAAACACCAGGCTGCACTCCTTTTCTGTTCTCCTAACCCTGGGGGGTTTGCTGGCAATGCCAGTCAGCACTGGTGGTCGCCCCATGGGTCCTGTTCCCTGCACATTTTAGGGAAGTCTCCAGTATGGCAGCAACCCAGGGTGCTGCCCAGCACCCCAGTGCCCCTCTGTTGGCAGCCAGTCCCTACCAGCTGCCCTGCCTGAAGCATCCTCCTGCTGAGGAACTGGCCAAGAGCAGCAATTCTGAGCTATGATGGGAGCCAGAGCTGTGAATTCACACACAGGAGGGTTTATCACCCTACCCAGATTTTGCAGGTTGAGGACACGACATCAGAGCCAACAAGTGCCTTAGATGGGCATGAGGAGCCCCCTGAGCCCTGATGTAGCCCAAACAGCCCTTTCCCAGGCTGTCCAGCATTGTGGATGGCAGCCTCCATCCTTAAATGATCCAAGGAGTGAGGGGAGAGCTGCCTGCAGAGCTGGAGCCCCAGGATAGCAGCAAGGAGCCCGTGGGACCTGCCTTGGTTTCCATTAGCTTGGGTTGCTGCACTGCAGCTTCTAACTTGTTTCCATTGTTTGTAAAAGGAGAGTTTATAAATGCTTGTCACCAGGAGAACAAAGTTACATAATCACACCACTTAACAGAGGGTCTGTGGCTTCAGTGCAATTATCTGGGGTGATTCAATATTCCAACACAAATACTGGGTGATAACCATAAATATTGTAAGTGGCTCTAGATGGTTTCCAAGGGCTGTGTCAACTGATTATTGCATTTGAAGGGAAAAGAATAAGTGAAATCACAGGGAAGATAAAATTTAAATAAATAAAATAAGGGGGAAGAATAAAGCAAAAATATTTTCTTTTGTATTTTGAAAGCTCTGGAGGGTGTTTTTGGGCAGCATGAGAGAAGACCATGACATTTGCCAGAATAATGAAGAGGGCACCTGTGTGCACTTACTTGTTCTTAGGTTATATATGTATGTCTGTGGGGCCTGTTCACCCATGCTTAGATAAAAATCTGCTTACAACAGGGGAAAACATCTTTGTATCTATGATTGTTTTTGGCATTTACAGATTCCAGCCATGGTGCCCATGACCACATCTCCTTCCCTGGCCCAGTTAGTGGGCTCCTCTATCCCTGCTGTGGATGCCAGGAGTGGGTAGAATTGTGGGATGGGTTGTTCGTATCATTGAAAAGCTGGGAAGGTTGTTAAAAGTTGTTGCTGAAGCAAGATAAATATTTTCCAGGCAGGATCCCACCGTGCAATGACAAGTAAGCTGTATGGAATGTGTTAGTAAAATATAAGTGTTCTGAAAAGGAAGCAAATGTTGTGGATAAGAAAACAAGGACTTGTGGCACCTCCAAAGGCAACAATTGAAAACATATTGAGAGGGATTGGGCCAAAGTCTCTTTTTATCTACTGAGGCACATGAACTGCAGCGTGTGCAGATCACCCAGCAGAGTGCTGGGTCTTCAGCGTGCCACACACACCCTAGAAACCCAAGGAAGGGAGGTTTGCCCATCCTTTACTACCACGGTCTCGGCCTCCCAAGGAAGGGCCGGTCCCCCCACGCACCTGAGCGGCCTCTCGGGGGCAGGAGCTTCGGGGACATCAGGTCACCCCGCGGCCTGTCGCAGGCTGGAGACCCCCTGGAGCTCAGGGGGTGGCTGGGGAGGAGAAGGGGGTTGCCCGAGAGCCGCTGGGAGCGCATCGGGGGCCGCACAAGACGCCACAGCCCCGGGCAGCCGAGGGTCTCACTTCCGCCCCGTCCCACGCGTGGGGGGTCCCCCGGGAGGGGCCCCGG